TTTCAGAGTACTGCATTCCTTTTCTTTGGCATTTTGCCGACAATACAGTCGCTCTACCCAACAATATTCTGGTTCGCTGCGGCCTCATTGAACAGCGACAGTCACATGAGTCGCTATCATCATCATTGCGTTTTCTCAACGCCCCCATCTTGGGTCCAGCGCCCCTCTGCCTGCTGCTGTTTACTGTTTTCTGCGCGCGCACGCTGAAGTTCGTCGCTCAGCACGCGCTATTTCCGTGATACGTCGAGATACGAACAACACGACCTTGATTCGCTGCCACATCTGCGGCTGCAGCAGCTGGCGCAAGCGACGGCTACAGTTCGGCTTGGCTCGGCTAGAGACACTCCTCCATCTGCGCGTGGAGCCAAGATGGCGGCGCCTGACGCGCTTCAGACGCGTAGTTCTGGAGTTTCGGTACTCTGAAAGCGTAACTTTATTTAGTGACTCTAGTAACAGCCAGCGCGGACATTCTGCAAAACCGTCTTGTTTCCATGGAGATGTAACAAAACAACTAGAAATGTATAAAATTAAACTTTCCGATTTTTTGCCTATATAATTCCGTTGTTACTGCCATCCATTTAGAAAATTCTTGATTTGACGGTGCAATGAGATACCTCTTTGTCATAAATTATTTGAGAGTTAAATATTCATAAAAATATTGCCGCGAAAACCTGTTTATTTTATAACACAGATTGAAAACCAAAATAAAAAAAGGCAACAATCAGACTAAAACACCTTCACCTGAGCCTGCCTAAATTTTCATTCAGGTGTTAGGCGCAATAACACCAGTGCATTTATGATACAAAAGGGTCGCTACCTGGTTTACATGCCGCGGTGTTATTGATCGATACACATGATCCAAACGTGTAATGTGCGACATACAAAGAGTTATTTTTTTTTAATTTGACAGTTTTTTTTATTAATTTATTCAAATGTGTTTCAAGAAATAAAATATGTTGCGAAAGTCCGCCCTGTTTTTAAAAGTTAACATTTAAAACGAAAAGAAAACGGACATAATGTGCAAACTTGAGTGTGTAGCTGCGTCTCGGGACGCATCTCATTATTTGTGTTGCCCAGTAACTCCCCTGCACTTGTACTAACAAATGGCAATTTTGTAGTTCAAACTCACTGATTGGTCGGCTAACATTATTGAAGCATTAAAGGTAGGAAAAAAAGACAACATTTCGATTGCATCTCAAAACTTTGTATGTTGAATTTTAATGTACAGTTGAATTCGCCTCTAAATAGTGCAGAGCAAGGAAAAAGCATAATAAATAGTATTCATTTCTTGAAAGAAGTTTTTTTTTTTTAAACTTTAAATGCACCTCTTCGTTCTTATTGTGAGTAACGTTCCATCTTTAAATACCACAGCAACGTTATTTTTTATGCTTTGTTGTTTCTGATGCTGACGTGAACAGCCCGAGTTTCTATAGAGTCATTTGTTTATGAATGTAAGCAACCGCTCTTACTGCACTGTCACCGCTGCTTCTAAGATTTACGCTTTAAATGGCCTAAGAGTTGAGCTTGTTGGTACATACTTGTAAATATATCAGCTTGAACTTGAGATTTACTTGACATCTGGCAGCTCATCGCAGGACATGCCCAGTGCAGTGCAGCTTTTAACAACACAGCCATTCTTGCCAGCAACAACAATCCTCGTGCACGTGGTTTGCTCGAGGCGCTCGCTATCGAGGAACACGCGGGAGATTGCGTCATCATCCCATGAATCACCGTTCGGAATAAAGAAAGACAATACCTAAGAAATGTCACGCCCCGAACAACAACAGCACAACAAATTACATCTATACATTAGCAAGCAGCGTTCACCCAGTGAACCTTCAGCTGGAGCGAAGGACCACGCAACGTTACGCCACTTTTAAGCAGTATATGAACTCTTCAATTAGTGTAGCGAGAAAGCAAATGAAAAGAAACGACTGATTGGTAAGTCGAGTTGCCACAGTGACGAGCAACAGAAGCGGCTGCGCGCGGCGCAGGGCACAATGCCTATTGTTTTGTTATGACAAATGTCAACACCTGTTGTGTCAAGTTATGTTTTTCAAGAAGTTATTTCGCAGCAGTCGGCAATCTTCCCCCGAAGAACACGCTGCATTCTAAGAGGGTAAGCTTCTTTCTACCCTCCATTTCGTCGAATAAGTAAACGAGGCCGTCATAAACCGCCAAGTGCCAAAATGGTGCTACATACACCGGGCACTGTGGACGCGCAAGAGTCGTCCGAGTCTGCTTGAGCCTATTTGAGCATCACGGCGGTGAGCCCGTGACCATGGTGACCGCGGAATCCACTGTTGCAGCGAATCTCGTGCCTGGTATTAGATTTGAATGGAACAGCGCAGATATGCAGTCACACTCACAGGCACACAAGAAAGAAACAGACTCGCAGCGCTGAATAACCACTACGGTGGAAGAAACATTTAGGGGATGACTTTCTGTCCGGACGTGGCGACCATATTATGTTCGGCACACCCAGCGCTTCACTCACACGGGGATAGATGGCGCCCAAGTACGGGATCCCTCCCAAACCGATCGCTCCGGTTGTTTCTCTCAGCGGTGGTCCCGCATTCCCTCGCTCACCGCTTCTTGTTGCACCTCACCGCCGCCACGCCGCCACAGAGTCGCCAGAGTCCGTAAATCTGCGTTCCCTTCCTCCTCCTTCTTCCTCTTCGGGTTAAGGATCATTTTCGTGCACTATGGTGGCACCTGCGATCGTCACAGCAGCAGAGCAAAACACAAGACGAGCCACTGGCCGCACATCACCACACCGCCATATCGCGAAAAAGGCGAGCACGAAACGCCGGCGAACCGCGGCCGCCGAGGAGGGACCTCATACCTCAGCGCCCTCAGCGGCGGCCCGGAACTAATTACTCCTGGTTCGAGGCTAGCTCCGAACACCATCTGGCCACTGTCTCCCCACGCGAAGAGCGGGCGGAGTCATCACCTAAATGTGTGTCTTCCACCGTGCTGTGACGTTTTCAATAGACGTTTTCAAAATCCACTTGAGTGCACGTTTAAGATATCTTGGCGGCACATTACATGTCAGAAAGTGCTGTTGAAGAGGCATTTAAAGGGAAATGCGCTTTCTACACTTCGTTACCAAGTGAAGAGACTATCGTAATCGAAGAAACTCCAAAGAAGAGACGTGCAAATCAATAGTACCTTTTAGTAAAAAAAAAAAAATCCAGAACCAGGAAAATTGAAAAAATCTGTCAGCAGACAGTATCATATTTTCAGACGTACGTGTTTCTTGTCATTGACCCTTTATAACCGGACAATGAAAAGCTATCGGTGTGAAAAACACGTCGTTGCCAAACTCGAGTCAGTGCAGAGTAAATCCCCTTTTCTGAATAAGGCACTGTATTTATCACAGATACCGGATAGGAGTGTTCGACGCAGAGAGGTTCCTCGCACATTCTATTAGAATAGTTGTTTACTGATCGCACGCAATAAAAGCACCAAAGGAAGTGGCATTGGGGATACAAGTTTCTTTCTGCATTCAATGAAAGTCACCACTGAAATGTTTGCGCTTGAAGATATCACTACTCTGAGCATGTCGGGAAGCTTTCTGCATTTCGCAACGATTCTTTAACTCGGCAACTTGAGCTCCGGGGTGGAATTTTTCGTAAACGATTGTTGTTTCTTTTGTTCGATTTCTTTCGACGCTTGCGTAACTTGAAGTGATGCAAAAGGCTGTTATCCACGAATATATACTTTTTGCCACGATATTTCGCGTAGGTTTAATTGATGTTTTTGTAGAAACATTCATAAGTACTGTCTTTTTTAGCTATATGTTTCACCCGGCCTAGAGCCCAAGGGAAAGAAACAAAACTGAAAGAACGTAATTATTTTAGATTGCTCGCACTATGTTGTTGAGTTGGCCAATCCTCTTATATGTTCGTGTCCTAATTTCCGACAAATTACATTTCATCGTAACTTATGAAAAAATACAAATATAAATTCCTATCTCTTCTGTAGACACAAACGTCTTTATAGTTCGATTTATTTTAATTCAAACGAAAATTATCGTTAACGCCCTCCAATCTTTCGGAGCTGTCGAAATCCTGGTTTCTGAAAGTTCACATATCCATGTATTTATATGTGGTAACGACTTACATTAAGATCTATATATCATTCACGTCAACCTGCGGGGACATCGAAGGCGAAAGTGACACTCTGAGTTGTTGTTATTTTTTTTTTTGTTGACTCGTGCCCAGCGGTAAACAACAGGTGGATGCTTGAGCCTGTTGTTGTGTACATTACAATAATGAAAGAGGAACAGAGAAGACAAACAGACGACACAGGATTTTGCGACAGTCACACCGGGCACGTCAGTTGACGACGAAATTTAAGTAAATGACTAATCTACACACTCGTGGTAAAATATATCAACTGTTAATCAGGTATAACCTGTAGACTACAGCCTGGAAGATACGGTTATATAAATTTTAATTCTTGTTCCGAAACGGTTCTTGCAACGAGGACCTATAGTGTTTTTCTACATATTTCTAAATAGCAGAGATTTTAGATTCGTAGACCAATTCACTCTACTTGTGTTTTATTTTTCTTAGCACGGAATATAGACATTCTACGAACAGCAATTCAATACTATGCGAGTTATTTTGCATAGACTCATAACTGTGTGTGTATTTGGCAACTTGTACATCATTCCGTAAAGTACCTCCTTCAAAAAGTCCATCAAAATTAATAAAGTTAAAGAACTTGATTGGTAAATATTTAATTTTCTTCTCTTTCAATTAAATTAAATTTGATAGACCTTGCGTCATTTGTACTGAAGTTATATAAGTTAAAGAAAATTGTCATAGAGAATGCAACAGATTAGTGTAATCCTAGCATAGTTCATTGCAATACAGAATTGATGCAAAATTCGGCAAAAAAAAAAAAGGCTTCTTTTTTTTTGTGCCGAATTTCGTCTAATACATTTATTTTATTATTGCAGAGGCCTCAAGCTGGTGACAGGCCACGTCGCGATGGAAAGAAGTTCCTTGATAATTCTGTGGTGTTGGTTTACTTGCATCATTTCCGATGAATGGAGACTGGCGAAACAGGAGGACGATCCGACGTACGAAAGATACCAACACGTCGAAGAGGTAGGATAAGGGGTCTCGCGAATAAAAAAAATTTAGTAAATCGTTTTGATAAATCGGAAAACAATACCCGATAACAATAGCAAGCATGCGAAAAGACGCCGGCGGAGTATCGTGTATCGTTTTCGGAGTCGGCGGAACGATCTATAAAATAGCCCCAAGGCAGTGAAAAGGAGGAGCCTCGGTCGGTTGGTGGTCAGCGCGTCTCGTTTTCAAAAAGGGGCAACTTTGGGAAGGCCCAGGCCCCAAGCGATTGAAAACGAGCGCCGCATCATAGTTAAAAACGGCGCTTGGAGATTAAAAAGCTCGAGAGATCGGTTCCAGTGATCGCGGCCGCTGTCCGTTTCACATATTCGAAAATTCCCCATAAGACGGCGCCACTTATCAAACCGAATTTCATTGCCCGCGCGTTCCCACGGAGCCAATCAAGCGCCACCGAAAAGTGCATCGACACGGCGCATGATCGTTGCCTTTGTCCGTTAGCTATCACCGGCTGAACCAATCACGCACAGAACAACATGGGGGATCGCAGCGCAAACGCAGTGCGGTCCCCCATGTCTCAATTATTTTGACTGTTCGCAAACGATTAGTTATTGGCGTTGTTCTTGACAAACTATGTTTACTATGTTTTCTTTTTTTTTTCTTTTTTTTTTTTTTTGGAGTCATTCCGGAGAAATCTTTTGGGGGCATTTTGACCGCCGACGGATTAACCTTTCGAGCGGTGGCCCGTCTGCCCTCCAAATAATGACCCGTACGGACCACTCCAGGAGATACAATCGATCACGACATTAATGTACTCGAGCGTGTTGGAAAAAAAACCACTTAGTGCACAGATAGGCACATGACAAAAGTTTATTAACGTGGCGTCTGGCGAGATTTTGTGTTGCAATTACGTCACGTGAAAACGTACAAGACCATGATGCAAAACTGCTTTCGGTTCAAAATTTCTTGCTTGGAAACAAAGTCTTATAAACCGCACTTTTTTTTTTTTGCGCCGTAATTGATTTTTTTATCCAAAGTCGTCGGAAACGGAAGGTGCATTGGCTGGTATTCGATCCTTACTCATACTGAAACTAATATAGCTCTCTTCGTCTTCTATTGGTTTAGGGAACGTTAACCTGCGTTGAACCAATTCTTGCAGTAAATTATAAGCCGAAAGCGAACCTAGAAGCAGTAGCTTTAGCCTTATTTAGATTAATACTTGAGGTAGGCCTATGTTGTATCTATGAGCTATTCTTTCCACGAGCGTTCAAGGACACACTCTTTATATTCGATTTATATTCAAGGAGCAACAAAATTAGAGGTGCGAGCGTTCTCACAGAATAGTTGCGGGCCCTCTCGCTCATTACCGTCAAACCAGGGATTGGCAAAATACATGCAAATATGTATCGAAATACAAATACAAAATACTTGGTCAAAAATGTATTTAATTACAAATCTAACTACATTTCCAAAAAGCATTTAATTACAAGATACAAATACAACCAAATGTATTTGGTCTCCCTCCAAATACTTTTCCAAATACATTCCTCAAAATTTGCGTCAGCGACTTCAGGGCACCTGCAACGGGTTTCTGGGTATTTCATTTTAATTTTGCATCGCACACTCGGGAGTTAGTGTGCGAGGCTCTAGTAACGTAACAGAAATATAATCACAAAAAAAAAATGTAATCAGCTTGGACGTAATAGATGAAAAAAGTAGAGCTTCAAGCAGCTTTTTTAGTCGATTACATTTTGGTATAGACCAACAAAGAACCGAGACGACCAAGACGTGCCGCACTTGCTAAAGAATTTTTTTATTGTTGCAACTCGCACCAGTTACGAATATCTGGACGACCCGGGCATTTAGAATGTCCAGGCAAACATATGGATAGAAATCAGGCTCGAAAGCGTCACAAGTTGTCACATTCACTTATTTAGCCAGTCTGCCTGTGAACGTCGATTTCGTCACTATTCTTGCCCTGGACTAGCACCGTAATCACAAAGTCACTAAACGCTTGTGCTTGATTGAGAGACACTGCATTCGGTGCAGAACGTAGTTTTCTTCCTGCTCTGGACAGTGCCTTTAAAATAAAGCCGGAGGAGAAAAATGAAAAAGCCCCATGGCCGAATAAAGGATGGAGACTATATCTTACAACCGTATCATAAAAACAAAAATTATCGTGACAATTAATTTGAGGGATGTATTTTCGCCCACAAAATTGTATTTAATTACAATTGTATTTGAAATACCCACGTTTTAGTATCTAAATACACACGTCAAATACATAACCCAATTTGTAAGTAAATACAAATGCAAAATACACAAAGTATTTGAAATAGTATTTGAAATACTTGTATTTGAAATACCGCCCATCCCTGAGTCAAACCCTACCTGAGGAGATTTCACCCAAGGTTGACAAAACAAGGCCAGTATTTCTTTTAAAATTCATATTGACTCTTGTTCACTGTGTACTATGCACAAACCCGTATTTTTTATTGCTTCAGGATAAACAATACACATCTTGATTCAAACCGGAATGGCGGTGGGCTTCCTAATTGTATCTGGTGTACTTTTGCGGGTCATGGCTGACGAGAGTCATCTGCAACATCAAGAGAACGACCCATATTTATCCAGATTTCAGGATGTTAACGTGGTATGTGAAATCTAGCAAAACCAAAGGATTTCTTTTGAACAGAAGTATAGATGTTCAAGAAAAACGGCAGACAGTTAAAAAAATAATAAAACGGAAGTTCAATGAACATGTGTCCCATTTGGTTTGCTTCGGTTTGCGCTTTAATTTCTTTGTACCGTGCAACTCGTGGCTTGAAAAAGCCGCCATGTCTCCTTAGGCTCTCCTTCTATCTTGTGTTCAGGACACGGGTTTTGCTCTGTAGTATGCAACTGTCTCGTAGTGGCTGTAGTCACTGACAGATTTAGAAACGTAGGACGTGGCGAGTCTCCAGCAATCAATTTTTGATCTGCAGGCAGTAAGATTGTGGCATTAGCCGATAGAAAAGCCGAAGTAAAAGAACAGATCACAAAGCCAATATCGTGAGCATAATAAGCCACGCTTTGCCTTTCTTAAGCTGCCGGTAACCATATTAGCCCCGAGAAGTTCGCGTGGCGCCCCCTTACGGCGAACCGGGGTGACGTCACGGCGAGGACTGAATTTTTGCCTGACTCGCTCCGCTTGCCCTGTGGAGGCTGTGACGACGTTAGCTTTCGGCGCGCTCGTTCCTATTTAACCATTTTTTGTGAGCGCCTTTCGTAGGAAGTGTAAATTTTCATATGTGGCTTTATTTAGGTATGGCCTGTAGCTGCAGGCGAAACTTCCTGGCATGGTTGACAAGGCAGGCAACGCATGAATCGCAGCTGGTATATAAAAATGAACATGGCCACAATTGTAGGAGCATCACTATAGATTTACATCTTACATAATCAATGTTACTGATATGGTTTAAACGAATTGGCAGGTTTTGTATATTATTTTTATGTTTTTTTTATTTTTTTGTTTGTATCTCTGTTTTTAAACAAAAAACACATCGAGAGAGAATCACAAGTGAGACAGCCCAAGTACAGCGATAAAGTAAAGAAAGAAGGAGCACAGGCATATACCAGTTATTTGTTTATATCTGTTTATACTGCTCACATTTGACCTTTGCTGGATTCAAATAGTATTTTAATAAACTCCATTGATGGTGTCTGTGCACTTGTTTGTAATATCACCCAAGCAATGTACAACAAATGTAACTGAAGGTGTCTAGCCCGTTATTAGTCCCTTAGGCTCTAAAATTTAGATTTTTGCTAAATCGAATTGTCATGAAGCTAAAATACCAGAAGCTATCACGCAAACCGTCACCCTTCACAGGTTCCACATTTTCTGCTCTTAGTGCAGAATCTACCACTGGACAGCCGTTCGAATGCTCGTAGATCCAGCTGTTTTCCTCTTTTGTCAAAGAGTTCAGCTGTACGGAGTTTGGAGGCTGAGGAAGCTTTTGGGGACCTGCAGCAGTGTCTCTTTTAATTGGAAATGACAATTCACACTAAACGGTGTAATTTCCGAATACACAAGGCTGGGATAAAGGAATAATGTCAGCAAAAAAAAAAAAAACATTCCAAAGTACGGTACTATTGTTGTGCATATTTTTGGGCAGTTCAATACATCTCGTACGGCAACTGCGGTCAATTCGGCCGTTTTTCCTGCTATCATACAAACTAATTTTCACTAATTGTGGGTGTTCTAATAAAATAAAAAATGCCTACATACGCGTGATCGAACTATATCGGTAATTCACGAAGAATCTGCATTTATGTAAAACAACCCTTTTCCACGAGCATTTCAAAGGCTTTCAGACACAGGGCCTTTAAACCATCTGCAAACCAGCGCATACAGAGTATAGCACGTGCACAGTTCGGGTCGCGAGTTAGTTTGCCGACCGCCCAAAGGCCTTTGATATAAATGCCATTTGAAATGCCTGCAAAGTGGGACATAATATTCTTATAAATCATGAACATGCAAGGAACAGAATTCCAGCGTCTGAAACACTTACGCCGCCGCTTCACCGACCCCTCGAATGATTGCCTTGTGCCGTGTGGACCGACAGTTATAAAGGTAAAAGTTACAAGCAAGCTTATAAAAGTACGTAAGCACGTTGGTATTGGCCTAACCCAGCGTCTTGCACACCGGATAAACGAGGTCCCGCTCCTCGAAGTGCTTGCGGCACACAACAGCCAAACCAGGAAACCGGTGCAAGAAAGCCAGCCGGATGCGAGATCGCGAAGCGGAGTCCTCCCCCTGACGCCACGGTGCACCTCACCCAATCAGGGCGCGGCTACCGCAGTGACGCTTGTTCGCTCTCGGGGATAATTGTCTCATAATTGAGGACATGTTCAAAGAGGATTGTTATGAATAGTCTTCGCCCGTAATTACGGTCGCTGGAATTTCTACAACTATGAATAAATATTCTTCAGTATGCATTGACAAGCATTGCCATTTCGCCGGACTGTTTAGGACTTTGTAT